AAGTCAGCTGGGGTCATAGGATCCCAGCAAGATAAGCATCCAGTTTCATCTTGAAGGTGTTCAATGAAGGCGCTTGAACCACCTCCGGTGGCAGGCTGTTCCAGACCTTGGGGGCTCGGACAGTAAAGAAATTCTTCCTTATGTCCAGCCTGAAACGATCTTGAAGTAGTTTGTGACCATTCGACCTCGTCATCCCTTGGGGCGCTCTGGTGAACAAACGTTCCCCCAGATGCTGGTGGTCACCCCTGATAAACTTGTAGGTGGCCATCAGATCACCCCTGAGCCTGCGCTTTTCCAGGCTAAAGAGCCCCAGGGCTCTCAGCCTGTCATCGTAGGGTCTGCTTCCCTGACCTCTGATCATGCGCGTGGCTCTTCTCTGGACTCTCTCAAGCTTCTCCACATCCTTTTTGAATTGTGGAGCCCAAAACTGGACACAGTACTCCAGCTGCGGCCTCACTAAGGCCGAGTACAAGGGGAGAATGACGTCCCGGGATTTGCTTGAGAAGCATCTATGGATGCAAGCACCTGCCTGTCTTCTGGTGTGGATGCTTTGCCCCAGAGGTTGGTGTCATCGGCGAACTTGGCCAGTTCTGATCGCTTCTGACTCCAGTGTCCACATCATTAATGAAGATGTTGAACAGTATGGGTCCAAGGACAGAGCCTTGGGGGACCCCACTGGTCACAGGACACCACGATGAGTGACTTCCATCGATTACTACCCTCTGGGTCCGACCCCGGAGCCAATTTTCCAGCCAGTGGATCGTGGAGGACCCAAGGCGACAATTGGCCAGTTTCTCCAAGAGGCGATCATGGGACACCAGATCGAAGGCTTTTTTGAAGTCAAGATATATGACATCAATCTCTTCTCCCTTGTCCAGGTGATAGGTCACCTGGTCGTAGAAGGAAATGAGATTGGTCAAGCAAGACCTACCCGCAACAAACCCGTGCTGGCTATCCCTTAAGATGTTGGCGTTGGCCAGTCCATTAAGGATGGCCTCTTTAATAAACTTTTCTAAGATCTTCCCCGGGATAGAAGTCAGGCTGATGGGCCTATAGTTAGCCGGATCCACTTTCCTCCCTTTCTTGAAGATAGGCACCACATTGGCCTTCTTCCAGTCTTCGGGCACTACACCAGAGCGCCAAGAGTTTTCAAAGATCCTTGCTAGAGGCTGGGCTATGATGCTCGCCAGCTCCTTGAGTACCCTGGGGTGAAGATTGTCAGGGCCAGCTGACTTGAAGGTATCCAGCTTCTCAAGATGTTCCTTCAGAAAGTCAGCATTAAGGGAGGGCAGGGGATCACCCTCACCCGGACTTCCCGGCCCTGTAGCGGGCATGGGCGTCCCATGGGACTGATGAAAGACCGACGCAAAGTACCTATTTAATAGGTTGGCTTTTTCCTGGGCGTCAGTTGTCAGTTGCCCCATCTGGTTCAGAAGGGGTCCAATGTTGCCCCTGCTTTTCCTCCGGCTCCCCACATATCTGAAAAAGGACTTTTTATTGTCCTTGATGCTCAAAGCTAGCTGGAGTTCAGTTGCAGCCTTGTTGAACTTCAGAAGATTTCTTTTGGTCCATTCTTCTAATTTATTGAGGTGTTTCTGAATCCTAGCCCTACCCCCCAGCATATTTACTACTCCCCCCAGCTTGGTGCCATCTGCAAACTTGCTGCGGGTGCACTGCTTCTCATCTTCCAGGTCTTTGTAACTGTTTCAGAAAGAGACTTAAGGTAAATAAACATTTTTATGGGCAACATATAGATCCCATATACAGTGCAGGCCAGAGCCAGTCTGCCATCCATATATGCTAGACACATGTACTGTCCTAAGAAATGACATGGCTCATGACCTAGCCCCCCACAGATCCTGAAAAGGCTGGCAAATGGGGTGGAGGACAGCATACCAACAATGTGCAATTCAGCAGCTGCAATTTGATTGAAAAAGTTCCCTCCTCGAAGAGTGCAGTGTAAATATGGTTGATGGAAGAATTTAAGAGAAGTGAATATGAGGTGATGAATTGCTCCTGGTTCTAGTGGCATGTCAGTCATGCAGAAGGAGGACACATCCTTCATGAATTTTGCCTTTTTCTCTGTTCTCACATCAGGCAAGAAAAAAACACCGAGGTTTCCCCAAATATTGCCTAGGTTGTTGCGGACAGGGTCGATCCTGCCTGGAGAATGAAGTTGGACCTGATGACCTCCTGAGGGCCTCGCCAGCCCTACTTTTCTAGATTTCTAGGCAGTCTGATTGCATAGCAGTAGCTATTCTGAACTCCCCACCAGAACAAAGTCTGGGTTAACAACCCCCTGTCTTCCTTAAGCCTTGTTTTGATTAAAAGATCTTTTAATTGCCTTTTGCGTAAAAAAATAGGGCTGACATGGGACAGAAATTGTGCCTTGACTTTGTGCTGGCAGCTCTGCCTAGGGGGAAGCCCATTCCCAAAAGATTTCTGCCAGTAGCTCTTGATCTGTAATGTAGCCACAAGTAGTTTATCAGGAGTGAGGAGTAGCCAACATTTGAGCAGTTGGATTGAGTGGTACAGAGACACATGGAATAATTCTGTTTTCTGATTGGATGGTCATAACTCTTAAAATGGTTTTTCAGAGGCAAAAAGGCAGGATTTGCAAATGCAAATACATTGTCAACCACTGTTCCTCGGTATTCAGTGAAGGCTGGCTCTTTCTCTGCATGCTATGTACTAAGTGGTCTACCTGAATTTACGTAGGGTGCAAAGAGAGTCAGTGTTGTGCTTAGCAGAGAGGTGAGGAGTCTGTTGTCTTCATACAACACATCTCAAACCACAGTGTCTCTCCATGGGAGCGTATACACATACTTAGCCAACTTAAAATAAAGCGACTTAACTATGCCCACTTAACTAAGTCAACTTAAGTTAAGCCGCATTCGAGGATACACATGTACATCTCCTTGCCATGGTGGTAGCCATCTTGTGAGCTAAGTCAGCTTAACTAATGCGGCTCAAGATAATGCACTTCAGGGCACATCTACACAAGCTGCTTTAAGGAGCATTAGCCCAAATTTAAGGTGCATTAAGGCATGTGTCTACACATGTGCACCCTTAATGTGCTTTAAACATGGTGAATTTAAGCTTTTCGTACCTAAATTTGATACCTGCAAATGCAGGTATCAAATTTAGGCATGAATAGTTAAAGCGTATTAATGGATGCATAGATGCATTAAAGCGCACTAACGCTGTGGGGGTGGACTGATTTGGGACTAACTTTACTAAGTGGGTCTGCCTGAATTGACGCAGGGTACAAAGAGAATCTAACTTCAGTCCCAAGTCAGTGCACATACCATTAATGCCTGCATGGGTCAACGCCTGCCTAAACCCCCTTAATGCACATTAAGCTAATGCTCATTACGTTTAGGTGCACTTAAATGCATGTGTAGACACACCCTCAGAGGTGTGTTATCGTGCACTGCATTTAAGCCAACTCTGCTCCATATGCGTGTGTACGCTCTGACGGTTATGTCCGCTTTATAAAAGTTAAGCTGGTTTAACTGTCAGAAAGTTAGTACGTGTGTACACACCACATGTGGTATGTTAATATAAAGGTAGCTGTCACGGAAGGTGTCTCGCATGCTGTGTTATCTCTCTTTCCCCCAAATGCAAATTCAGTTCTCTTTTATCTTTGTCTTTTTTAAACAAATGTTAATCAGAAACAAATGTTAATCCAGACTGTAAGAGCCATGTTGGTTCTTTGTGGATAGAGACGTCACAGAGGTGAAACAAGCTCTTATAAAGTTTCAAGCTGAGATGTCATAGAATTATAAAACAGGGCTCTCAGGAGGTCACATCCAGTCCAACGCCCTGCTCCCGGCAGATCATCCCTGTCTAAACCATCTCAGCCAAGTGTTTATCCAACCTGCCATTAAAAACTTCCAATAAGAGAGATCCAACAGCTTTCCTATGTCATCTCTTTGGGACTTTAACCACCTTCATAGTTAGAAACTCCTTCCTAATACCCAGCCCAGCATTTCCCCTGGTTAATTCAGCCCATTATCACTGTCCTGTCCAGGTCGACACTGAGAATAGTTGAATTGCAACGCATGACATTTGCAATAAGACACAGACTGGGAATTAATTGGTACAGGAAGATCTGGATACAGGTGAGGGGGTCAAAAAAAGGAGACGGGTGAAAGCAGAGAACTGCTTTGCTCCTCCAGGCAGCTGAAGGCCTCTGTCTAGTCACAGAAATGCTGTAGAAATGGCAACACGGTGCCAGCTTTCATGTGCACTATCTTGATCGTGACCTGGAAGGAGAAGCTGTTGGCTGCAGATAAATGCTTAGCTAGTTCGTGGCCTTCCTTGCTAACTCCGAATGAAGAGGCATGAATATATCACCAATGCAGTGCTCTATGAACAGGACTGAGACTCATCAAACTTATTTTAGGAAGGTCACCAAGTAGCACTTGGATGGTAAAGACCACGGGCTAAGCCTCGTTTAGACCTGGCAGCCCAATCAATAGCCCACTCTCACACTAGACGACTGCTTTAGGTCCCACATCTCGCACGCGAGCCCCCATGGAGCTATGGAAAGGGAAGGGGAGGCTTGTGAAATAGGATTCGAGTTGCAAAGACTAGGAGGGAACAAAGCCATAAACCAGTGTTGATAGTGGAGTGAAAGCAGCAGTGCTCTATAAAGAAAGTTTTACATAAGCTGGGAAGGCAGGGAAGCACGAGTTGAAAGGGGATTTCAAGGGTGTTTTCAAAGCCGGAAAGAGTATCCACATCAGTTTGCTGAACTGCAGGCACCTCACAGTTTTGCAGGAACTTTGTTAGAATAAAACGCAAATAAAAATAGATTTTATGGTGTTTTGTCATCTCTGCTGCTTGTAACAAGGAAGAAACACTTAGAACAAATATTGTAAATGGAATAGTAAATACATGATGCAATTAACTGCATGGGCGGATGTGTCACGCCATCTGCCATTGCCCATTGGGCCAGGCCAACTGAGATCAAGTCTTTAAAACCATTGGTGTCACTGGGAAAAGGCACTTTGCTCTCCCCAATGAAGAACCTGTCCTTTTCTCTGCCGGTGGAGGGACGCTGAAGGAGATGAAGGCTTTTTTGATCGTTTTGCTGGTTGCTGTCCTGTGGGCAGGGAGAGGTAAGGCACTTTCCCTCACCCCCAGTGATCCAGTGGTCTTATGCTACTTCCCCTACAGCATTTACAAATGATGGGTCTGATTCTCTGAAAGTCATCAGAGTGATCCCCCACTGGCTTGCGAGGGCTCTGGATCAAGGAAGGAAAGGGAAGTGAAAATCCAAGGGGATACTGTTAATTTTCTCATTATCTATCAGGTATCCAAGTTGTAGCCGTATTGGTCTAGAGGAAAAAAAACAAATCAGGACTCATGGTAGAGGTGGTATCTTTTATTCCAACTAGATTTTTGCAAAGAAAAAAAAAATTAATTGCAAGCTTTTGGGCACAAACCCTGCAGAAGAGTGTTTGTGTGTGAAAGTTTGCAATTAAAGATTAAAAAAAAATTTTTTTTTTTTGCAAAAATCGAGTTGGTCTAATAAAAGATATCACCTCTACCACAAGTCCTGATTCCTTTTTCCCATTATCTTTGCATGCTGGCAGCTGCCGCTCCATACTTGCTTGAGAGATCTCTGCTTGGAGTCGCTCTGCTCCTCTACATACAGGCTATGCTCAATCTGCCATGCTTTCAACCTACTGCTCTTCCTTTGTCTTCAGGTTTAAACTGTTGGGCTACCTTTACAAAGAATACACTGGCTTTTTGTGTTGCTTGCTTGGCTATCAATGCACTGAAAAAATCCCCCATCAAGCTGTTGGGAGTAAGGCCAGAAAGGACCATTATGACTTGCATGTCTGAGGTCCTGTATAACGCAAGCCAGAGATCTCCACCCAGGAGCTTTGGCACAGAGCTCTTGATTTGTGTTTGAGTTCGAGCAGATCTTTTAGGAAGACATCAACCCTATTTAAAAAGCATCCGGTTGATGGATGATCCCCTCCGTTCCAAGGCAGCTTGTACCCTCATCTTCTGTCTAGCCTGTGTTTCTAGCTGAGTTTCAGTTTCCATCCACTTGACCCCATTTTGCTGTATTCTGCCAAATTCAAGAGAGATCGACTGCCAGGACTCTCCTCCCCTTGCAGTGTCACCGTCTATAAGGTACATCTCTACGCTCATGACTTTAGACTAACACGACTAACTATCTCTGACTGCAAATCAAGTCATATCTTACCCTTCTCTTGCTAAAGCAAATAGATTGATCTTCCTATGCCTCCTGGATTTCCAGACCCCAAATCATCCTTGCAGCTTTCTTCTTGCCCATGATCTGCTTGTTGCATCTCTAATTTAGTTTTGATTCGAGTCTTTCCCACGTATCCCTAAAACTTTGCTGGTTTCTCGTTCTTTTTGTTGTGTGCCATACACTTATATGCACTTCGTACGTCCCATTTAAACTCCTGGGCCTAAACCAGTTTGGTTCCATAGCTTTTGCTGGAGTTACACAACCTGTTGGGGCTGGAGAAGTGCCTGGGTACCATCCTCAGCTGTGATATTGCAGCTCTTGGCAGACTTCTGGCTGCTACTGAGCACGTACCAATGACAGCTGATTAGGTGAGACAGGGGATGACCTCTCAGGCCATCAGGATATCAGCAACCAGCTGATGAGCCGTGCATTTTCCTTCCACAGCTTTCTCACTGCGTTGCCATGTGTGCAGCACTAAAAATGGCAGCTGTAGCAATCCAACCAACTGCTCCAAAACTGATTTCTACTGCACAACGTTGAGTAACGGTAAGTCCCAGCATCCCTTGTGCTTAAGGCCAGATCCTGGAGGAGGATGAGTGCAGGCAAAACCCTGGCCCTAGGCGGATTCAGTTGCACGCTCAGAGTGGTGCTTAGGGGGTAGCGGATTTCAAACTGGGACTCCACGAGACCCATTCTGCATCTCATCTAAACTGTTGATGTTGACCCTGAGCTAAATTAAGAGTTTGTTGGGGTAGGGGTTGTCTTTATCTTCTCACTCTGTATCTGCACCAAAGTTAATAGATGTACAGGGTGTGGGATTTTCAGTGCACTGGCCATCTCCACCTTCACGACCCTCACGCACCCGGGTTGAAGGCGATGAGAAGGAGGGAACTGGTCGGGGACACAGCCAATGTCTTTGATTTGGGGACTGTGTCTATGGGCGGATCTAGGATTTTGAAGAGGGGGGTGAGGTGCATTATCACAGATAAAACAACACATTTCTATCCTGTTAAAAAGAAATGAGAAGCTTTACGACTATGCTAGAGGCCTAAGGCTGTAGCATTCAGTTTAAAATTCATGCAAAAACAAAGGTAAGTTCATTGGAATGAGTGAAAAGCAATCTGCAGGGCTGTGAAATAGGAGCTTCATGACCAGAAGCAGGTCACAGAGAGCAGAATTGGGGAAGAGAGGCTAGCCTGGTTGGTGGAGCATCAAGGTCATTAAAAAGAAGAGAGGGTCGTTAACACCTGGGGAATGAAGAGTGTAGAAGGGATCAGGTAGTTGATAATGAGCTACAAAGTCAATGGATTCCCTCAGCACGGCCTCGCTAGAAATGCTGCTGCCATTGCCAGGCAGTTGGTTTTAAAGTTTAGGTGGAGCAGGAATCAAAGGGGGGTACAAGTGCTCTGCCCCGAGTGCATTGCGGATCATAAAAACAGAGAAAATGAGGGTTGAAGGGACCTCAAGAGGTCACATCTAGCCCAATCCCCTGCTCCAAGCAGGACTAGCCCCAACTACATCATCCCAGCCACAGCATTGTCTAGCTGGGTCTTAAAAACCTCCAAGAATGGAGATTGCACCACCTTTCTGGGTAACCTGTTCCAGTGTTTCACCACCTTTCTAGTGAGAGAGTTTTTCCTAATATCCAACCTCAACTGCCCTTGTTGCAGCTTGAGCCCATTGCTCCTTGCTCTGACACCTGCCCCCACTGAGAGCAGCCCAGCTCCATCCTCTTTGCAGCCCCCCTGCAGGGAGGTGAAGGCTGCTATCAAATCCCTCCTTGGTCTTCTCTTCTGCAGACTCAATCAGCCCAGGTCCCTCAGCCTCTCCTCACAAGGACAGGCATATAGATTAAGGGTGAATCTAGAGCCACATCCACTGCTACTGAATGACCCTGTTACACCAGTTAACCCAGTTGGCTTTTTAACATCAGCATCAGGCCGAGAGGTTGTGACCTTCCCTTTAGGGGGCAAGTCTGGCCATGGCCCATGCCTGCCATTATGACCTTAAGGTGAAACTGCTGGAGTGGGTGCTTACAACCAGTCACAGACTGGGATCCCACTAGAGGTCCAGTGCACTGGGGTCCAGGATGACTGGGTGGAGTTTCACAAATCTCTGATGCCTTTTAACCAGCAACTACTGAATGTGTCTCCTGGGCTAAAGAGACAACCCCATGGTCTTCTGAACCTAATGGCATTTAGGGCCAGTCCATGTGATGGAGGAAAAATGGTTGAGGAAACTTTTAAAGCACATTTAAATGCTGATTCCCTCCCCTCTTTCTTCCCTGATGTAGGCCTCAACTCCAGCATGTATTTCCTGGAGAAGAACTGTTCCTCCGTGTGCCCCCTTTCCACACGTCAACCTTTTCTTTCCTGCTGCCGGACTGATCTGTGCAATGGGGCCAATGGCATGAGACTTGGCTGCTTTGCCTTGGTAATGTGCATATTTGCCAGCTTTTTTGGTGCCTCTGTCAGGACTGGAGTGTGATGTGCTGAGCAGAGTGGGCTTTGCCCCATGAAAAATGAGCCAAGGAAGAGTTAAACCTTCTCTCTGCATAATGAGTCTTTTCTGCCAGATGTTATTTCAGATCCCATCACCAAATAGCATTTTTATTAGGTGACTGTGACCTCTCTGTCAAGTCCCATCCCTCTTACCAGGTCCATAGCATTATCTTCTAGCTCCTTGGGACATGGGAGACTTATGAAACTCAACTGAACAGTCCTATATCTACATGTGAAGCAACCAGGAGAGGCAGGGATCTGTTGACTGGAGTCACGTGGAGAGAGTTACTTCATTTACATGGCTTATTTTCTGGTGAACATGATGCAGAAATGAAGCTTAAGATTCACTGATGTGTATACCTGAAAAATATTCAATTCAAAATAAATCTATTTCCAGTCTGTTCCCAGGTGTGAGGCCATTTCTGTGATGTCTCGGCAGGGAAGTGTTGATCCCCAGGAGCATGTGTTAGAACATAAGGTAGGAGAGACTGGGCCCAAACCAGAATGACTCATCTCCAGCCATCCTGGTTTTATCTAATGCCCCCTCAGTAAGAGACTAGTGCCCAGATTCCAGCAGTTATGCTGCAACCACCCATTTTGGGAAAAGAGGGTTTTTTGAGCAAAGTTTCCATGGTGGCTTAGGAAATCCATCATCTCTGGAGCTGTTGGTGATGTAGGACAAGGTATACAAGGCCATATTTTCAGAGTTGCTGAGCTTCCTATGCTAAGCAGTAGGTGTAAATGCAGTTCATCATCTCTAGAAATTGGGAACTCTGTATTTTCTGGCTCCAGCGGGCCTTTGTATATGCCACGCTTTTTGCCTTTTCTTGCACTGCAACAGCATGACTGTTTGCACCAGCGGGTTTTCCGGATGCTTTAAAAATCTTTCTGACGCATGAAATTAAAACTCCTCAGATCTAGTTTAGTTTGGCTTGCTGGGAATTAAAGCATCGTGTTCATGGATTCGTTATGTGCAAACACAAAAGCACTCAAAGATGTGTAATGATCCTCTTTGTCCACCAGATGGCATCACAAACTTTTTTGTAGTTCACACCTTCAAATTGCTTTGGCTTTGGAATTGCTTCTGCTTTTTTCTTCCTTGTGTGGTTTGCCAGCTCCCCACTTCCACAGCTGCATGGCAGGGCTGGTGGGGGGGGGAAGGGGGGGGGTCAGTGCTGGACTGTCCCGTTCTCCTGCAGCACCAGCCAGGGACCTGGCTTAATTCATTTGAGAACCTAGTATGTGTAAACACAGATGCGACACTCCAAAATAAAGAAGTTTAAATTGTATAAAACTGTTTAATTTAATGGGATTTAATGGTGTGTACAGGCACCCAGCTTCTCATACTGGTAGGACCCAGGTGATACTATTTACCCAGTGTTGTAAAACAGGTCGATGTGCACAAATGCAAAATGTGAAGAGATCAGTTTTGCTTTTGCTCTCCCCAGGCTGCTTCTTCTTCTCTTGTCCTTGTCATAAGCTAGATGTCTTTCCAGATGGCTCTTTCCATTGCTGCAGTGAGGTCCTCCTTCATACGGGTCTCACCGCGGAGTTGGCAAATGAGCAGGTGCTCCATGACCAGGCACTTCAGCACATTCGCATGTATTTGTGTGTTCCCCAGCCTAACTGCATTCGTTCCAGGCAGTTACTCCTAATTCATGCTGGGGTTGGGATCACAACTGGGTGCAAACCATACGACCAGTCGTGCGCACAATACGAACACCAAATAAATGAGTAGCTCTGAGTACCCCAAGTTCCCAAGCGATGGGTTATTTTACAATGTCCATAAGGTTTATTAGCCTGAGGAATGGCAAACATTCACTTTATAACAGATTAAGGGTCCAACTTTTGAGAATTCATGGAGAGCCCACTGCTTTGCATGGGATGGAGACTCATTACAAAGCTAACGCATTCGTCCCCAAGATAACCTGACAGAACCGTACAGAAACAGAACTCTACACCCGTAAATAATGGGGATGAAAGCAAAACACATGCATAACAATTAGCTCGCTCTTTCCTTCCTTCTTGGGATTTTAGGCTGGAGCAAGTTTTGTTTTATGCTCCTGACAGGTGGTGCTACACACAGCCCCATATCACCTTGGCTTCAGCAAGCCACATTCAGCTTCCTCCACCTGCAGGGACATGGACTGAAATGCAGAGTGTGGAGGAGATGGGGATGAATTGGGACCCCCCAAGGGATAAAATAGAGTTGAACAAAAATCCCTCCTTTTCCTTTTTAAAATAAGCCACTTGATGGCTTTGTATGTGCCCTCCTCATTCTCTCTAGGCTCAGTGAGAAGAGATGCAGCTACAAAGGCATCTTTTGTCCCTGCATCCAGGACCTGAAAGAAGGCAGTGGGTAAGTAACCACATGGCAATGAAGCTAGAAACTTCTCCACCCCTCCATGATATTGAGTTGTAACTCTTCTTAGTGAGAAATCAGAGATTAAGAGCTACTTTGGAAGTCCATGGGAGGAGAGGTGTATATTATACAAGCTTAAAAAAAAAATCAACAGGAAAAGTCCTACCGCAACAAAAAATCAAAATATCTGAAAATGCCAAAATGGGATGTTTGACATCAGTGGAATAGCTGAATTGCTGCAATGGATACTCACCATCACTACACCAAAATGCAAGAACCACATAGAGATACCCAAGCTTGCTCGGGTACTGAGCGCTGTGGCTGTATTAGCACACTGCTCTGCACAAGGTACTTAGAGCTGCAAAGAAACATGGTATAATCCCCATGGCAATGCATACCTTGCTAGCATCACCGCACTGTCTCCAGTCACACGTTGCACTTAGAACATGTTAACTACACTAAAAATGCAAGCACCCGCGTGTTCAAGAAGTAACATGTGGGCTAAGTGCAACTGCATCCTCTCAAAGTTATAATGTTTTGCTGGATGTTGGTTGTAGCCATGTTGGTCTAGGCAGACCAGGTTCTTTGGGTAGGTGCGATATCTTTTATTAGACCAACTAAATAGTTGGAGAAATAGTTGTTTGCAAGCTTTCGGGCACAAGCACCCTTCTTCAGGCCGCGGACTGGAATTGCTGCACCCTCCACCTCTGTAGTGGGTCTAATAAAAGGGATCACATCTACCCAAAGAAACTTGTCTACCAATGTTTTGCGGGAGGAGTCTCTGCAGATCATATTAAGCAATGTGCTCAGCTATTATCAGACTGCTCTACAGAAATAACATGACTTCAAGGCAATCAGCTGATTGTCAGTCCCAGCACGGCCGGTTCAAGATCCCGGGGCGGTGCTGGGACACGGACTGACGATCACCTAATTAGGCACAGCCCTCCAATAGGGGCCAGTGCAATGCTCCCCAGGGACCTGTGAGAGGGATTTGTAGGGGCCTGGGAGTTGTTATAGGATTAGCTTTGCCTTCTCGCTGCCCTATTGCAGGGGGAATACATCCCCCCAAGCAGAGTGTAAGTGGCCCTTGGGTTAGCCTGGGTGGCTAATACACGTTCAATTGATCATCATCTGGGGCTGTGCTAGGATTTGGCCATGTTCGTGGCCGTGTGCCAGCTCACACATGGCAAACATGCACTTATCTTCCCTTGCATGGCTACACCTGGATGAAATGCCAAGCAGTTGTTGCAAGGAATCTCTCTGTCTCCATGCTGAGAAGTGCCCAAGGACAGAGCCGGAGAGACTGCAAAGCTCTGCTAACTGGAGGCTTGTGAAGTCGGCCTCAGATACAGCTGGATCTTTGCCATGCATCAAAGGGAAATCATATGAGATCAATTAGCAGCAAGAAAGCTGCTCAGAGGAACTGGCTAATGAGTAATGGATGGGTGGGAATGCTGTCAAGAGTGCTAGAAGGGTGGGGCAGGTGATGGCATTATCTCCCAAGGGCAAACAGGACTTTTTCATTACATTTTTGCAGACTTCACTCATTTAAAAAGCTGATTCCCGTCACTGGACTCAAAGGGGCAAAAAAGCAGTCTAATTTCTCTCTATCTATCTAGGTCTGCCTGTGACTTGGCCAGCCTAGTACCCCAAGTGCCTATGTAGAGCAGGGGTGTAGGCTGTAGCCGTGTCGGTCTACGGACATAGGCAGACAAGAAGAATTTTTCCAACTGTTTAATAAAAGATATCAGATTGACCCAAAGATCCTTGTCTGTCCATATACAGCGTGGCATAGGATTGAGGGGTAGGAGGGGAATTTCACAGCACTGTAACCTATAGCACTTATTGGATATATGCCTACAGATGGCTTTGCAAACATCAGCTCATCCCCAGGAGTGCTTGACATTACAATAACTGGCCTTGTATTTTCATGCAAGCTCAAGAGTAATAAGAGCATTTGAATGTGTGTCTTGTTGGGCATCCTGTTCATCAAGATAAATCAATCAATCAAGATTGCTGTATGCAAATCTCCATAATAAAGATGGGGAAACTGAAACCTGGGATACGAAATGACAGGTCGAAGGTGAGATGTGAATTGGTGGCAGCTCTGCAAATAGAGCTCATGAGCACTTATCTCTTGGCACTGAGCTCCTTTGTGCTGCTTCTAGCACCTCCTGTGTTTATCAGCGATGTTCAGAAAGGACCTTAATAGAGCAGAAACACTGTTGACCGGTTAACTCATTCAAGCTATGAAGCGCCGTTCTATTTCTGGCTCTTCTACTATCTTGCTGTGTGACTTTAGGACAAGTTAGATCATCTCCTGGCATCTCAATTAGAGATGATAACATTGGCGTGTCGATAGTCATAGTGCAGAATATACCACGGCAGGCTGTGTGACACGACGTGAAATGCTATGATGTCATAGTCACGGATACTGCAAGCAGGCCATACAAAATCAAAACACCAGTACGAAAAATAGAAATAAAATTGAGGACGAATATTTCATTTTGCAGTAGAAAGACATGGGAATCCTGAAACAAAATAAAAAGAAAGTTCCATTTTCTGTTGGACATTTTGCTGAAATCGATAACATTTTTGGAGGGGGGGGGTGCGTGGTTTAATCACATGATAATTTGCCATTGCAAATCTATTTAAATTACAATTTCCCAATCATACTCAACTATATGAGAGAGGGGGTGGACTCTCCATCCTTGGAGGTTTTTAAGACAAAGACAAAGTCTTGGCTGGGATGATGTAGCTGGGGCTGGTCCTGCTTGGAGCAGGGGGTTGGACTCCATGCGGCGCCCAACGACTAGGGAGACAATGGCCCAATTACCCGTGGATCCTGGTACTCATTAGCCAGAGCAAGCAGGAAGCAAACACCAGCACACATTGATTGCAACAGCTTTATTCAGAACGGGGACAGCTTTGGACAAGGAGCCTCACGCCAGAAGAGACCGGGTCCTGGCCTGAACAATAGGTCTTTTCACATTTTATACATCTTAGTTTATACTCATTAACATTTACCCTGCCTTGTTCCACCTCCGGTTCCCCCCATTTCTCCTCCCATTTCAAGCTCCACCTCCATTTACTGTTTGCTTCAGTAACCAGGAATTGCCTCTGCATTTCCTTTGTTGGCGTGCCTCTCTGCTAAGACCGTGAACTAGGGCTGGTTCTTGCTTGTTCTTTGCTGGTTTCAGCACCGTCTCCAAGGTCCGGCTTCCGTCTTATCTCCTGATAATAGCTGGGGGGTTGCATCTTGTTCTTCTTACACAATGGGCTCTAACACTACTCTGTTTAGAAAACCTCTTGCAAAGTTAGTTATAATTTTAATATATAGAATAGACTCCATGCAGCTCCATATATATAATATATATATATATATATAGAATAGACTCCATGCAACTCCATTCTAATATATAGCATATATAGCCTTGTGACAAGTAGCTTTTTGCTGAGACACAGGAAAAAGCCTTCATTCAGTTGCACACTCAGCACCCCCAGATTCCATATTGTTACCCCAACATCCAAAATCCATATCATTGCCCTAACAGGCTCCTTTGAGATAAAGAAAAAGACAGTATACCACATGCCACGGGGGTTGCTTGCATCCCATAGCAATAGGATTGCTGCAACCTCCACCTTTGCTAGTGGTCACATTACTTGAAATAGTTCTGGAAAGTGAACTGTGAACAGATCAGACGCAGAAGACTCGTAGCCGGTGTGAAAGTCATATAGGCAAAGAGTTAAAAAAACCCCAAACAGCTTTTGTAAATAGCATCTACTTCTGT